GGAGAAAGATGAGGCTTTCTGCTCCCGTAAAGATTTACAGCCTCAGAAACCCTGTACAGGGTCGCTATGGGTCGGAACTGACTCGATGGCACTTAGCAACAACAACAATGAAATGTAGAAGAAATGTATTTAAGTGTTTAGCAGAATTATTAAAACCCTGGTGGATACATGCATGAGGCTATAGTAGGCAGTTTAATGATCCATCTCAAAATGTCCATGTCCCTGTGCCCAGAATATATTACTTTGTTAGGCAAAAGGGATTTTGTAGATGCAATTAAAGTTATAGGCTTGATATGGGGAGAGTATCCTAAATTATCCAGGTGAATTTACCCAAATCATGAGCCCTTAAAAAAAAAAAATTGCAACTGTGGTCAGAAAGAGCTGATGATGGAGAATGGTCAGAGAGATGCTAAGTTGTTGTCTTTTAAGTTGGAGGAAAGGGACCAAAGAATGCTGGTGGCCTGTAGAAGCTGGAAAAGGCAAAGAACTGAATTATTCCTGTCGTGCTATGAATTTGCTTGATATGAGTTTTCTGTACAAAGTCTTCTTAACTCTCACCAAGAGATTGGGTAGTATAAGTTCTGTTGAGTCAGTTCCTACTCATAGCAACCCTGTATAGGGTTTCTGAGGAACAGTCGGTGAGTTTGAACTGCCACCTTGTGGTTCAAACCTACCTTACGGGTGAGTGCTTATCCTATAGCATGGAACTCTAATAGCCAGAATTGCTTAGTTTTGTCTTCTTGCTAGGTTTGAAAGGAGCCATCTCAGAAGCATGAACAGAAGATCACTGGGCCATCAAGAAAGAAAAGTCACAAGTAGAGCAACAGATCTTTGTTGTGAAAAACTGTGGCAGCAGAGGCAGTGGCATGAAGGGACAAAGCAATTGTGGGCTTCTGGGCCAATGGAATGAGTCAAGTTAGGTGCCTGTGGGCAGGAGGCTTGCTTGCAGAATGTGCCCTTTGGAACATTTATAGACAGACTAAAGGAGCGCTTGCCCAAGCAGGGCAGAGGTCAAGGGGAAACATTGCTGAAAGGTCAAAGACAAGGTATACCTGAAGTGTAGCAGAGAAGAGGCATTCCTGAGTGGAGAACTGCTACATCTTGAGTTGTTTCTGATCCTGAATTGTATGCTATTCACCATAATCATGACTATTGCCTCTTGAGTTTGCCGTTTCAGTGGATTATTGAGCCCAGTAGAGAAGTAAGGATGATGTGGGAGGGACAGTTGATATCAGATTAGGGTAAAGAAGGTTGAAGGATGGAGGCATGTCTGACCTCTGCTTCATAGGAATCAGCCTTTGGCTGATTTTAGTCTGATTTTCCTTACTCCTTGTGAAGCTAGAGAAAGTCAGACATGGTCTCCATGCCATTTTTGCCCCACGCCCCCATCCTTAGAGCCCCTAGAAAGGAGCTCTGGTAGTATAGTGGGTTATTCATTTGGGCTGCTAACCATAAGGTCAGAAGTTCAAATTCACCAGCTGCTCTGTGGGGAAAGATGAAACTTTCTGCTTCCATAAAGATTTATAGCCTTAGAAACTTTATACAGGTTGTCTATGAGTCAGAAGGGACTTGACACGACATAGCAGCAGCAGCCGGAGAACCTCTAGAGAATGCCCTGCTGACATTTTGATTTTATCTCAGTGAAACCTGTGTCAATGTATATAACTTATAGAACTGTAAGATATTAAATTTGTCCTGTTTTAAGCCATTACATTTCTGGTCATTTGTTACGGCAGCAACATAAAACTAATACAAAGGCTAAATCATCAAGATGAATGGGAAATGTATAAAAGGAAATTATATATTATTACTTAGGTAATCTTTGTATTCTCTTTTAGGTAGTTATTGAACTGGGAAAATTTGAAAGGCAGAAGTTTAAAAATTCCAATTTTCAAAATGGACATACAAAAGTAGAGGAAGAACCTAAACATCGCTATCCATTCCTTAAGAAAGAAGCATTGACCTCGAATGGGAAAAAAACATCTGAAACTGACAGCTACCCTATAATGCTCTGGTGGTCCCCACTGACGGGAGAAACTGGAAGATTAGGCCAGTGTGGGGCAGATGCTTGTTTCTTCACCATCAACCGGACCTACCTGCATCACCACATGACCAAAGCATTCCTCTTCTATGGTAAGTAGGGCTTTCCCCTTTCTCTATTTGTTTGCTGTCATCTGACTCCTCACCTAAGTCACTGCTTTCTTCCTGTACTAGTTTCTTAGAATTACTGTAACAAAGTACCACTAACTGGATGGTTTAAAGCAACAGAAATTTATCGTCTCACAGTTCCGGAGGCTCTGGGGGGAAGATCCTTTCTGGTCTCTTCCAGTTTCGGGTAGGCCCAGGAGTTCCTTGGCTTATAGATCTATCATTCCAATCTCTGTTTCTGTCTTCACATGGCTTTCTTCTGTGTGTCTCTGTGTCTTATCTTATAAGAACACCAGTCATCATATTAAACTAGAGCCTAATAAGGTCACAGTTCTCATGCTAACTTAAATATATCAGCAGATATATGATTCCCAAATAAGGTCATATTCACAGGTATTGGAGGCTAGGACTTGAACATATCCTTTTCGAGGACACAAATCAACCCATAACACCTCCCAAGGAAGAATTGTTTGAGCTCCCCTTGAGAACACTCTGCTAGGCTTGATTTCCTTTACATTTGCTCCATAGAAGGCATGAGCATTTGGTAAGAACATTAAATAAATGAACCTGACTAATTTAAAGGTGGTTGGCTGGGCCTCTTGATATTTATGGAGAGAAGAGACATTTCCTTTCACCTTTTCACAGTTAGGTGCCATGCTCACTGAATTTGATATTTAGAGACTTGGATATTGATTATACTGCTGACTTCAATTTAGAATGTCACCTGTAATAATAGCCATGGGAGTTTGACTCCCACAACAGATGGCTAATTGGACATAAAGTCAAGCACAGTGTTCTGTATTTCGTTAGTGTCAGAGTAGTCAAAAATGAAAATAAAAAAGATTGTTCAGCGTCGGCTTTTAGGAGTAAATAGATATTTCTCACTTCTTGAGGATGATTATATGTCATGCTGGAACTGAAGGACAACCATACCCGGGAGTAGGTAGTGTTAGCAGGATGCCAGCAGCTAAGTTAGAAATGCAGGGCTTCTGAGTGATGAGTGGTGGAGGTGAAGGGAAATACAGACTAGCAAGTGGGACCTAATATAAGCAAGGTTAATCAGCTATGCTACGGAGTCAGTGAAAGGAAATCTGCTTTAGGATAGATATGACATATATTTATGTGTATGTAAATATATACACATCAAAGAGCCCTGATATCATAATGGTTAAGCGCTTGGTTGCTAACTGACAAACTGGCAGTTCAAACCTACTCAATCAGTAACCATGTGGAAGAAAGATCTGGAACTTTGTTTATATATAGATTGTTGTTGTTGTTAGGTGCCATCGAGTCAGTACTGACTCATAACGACCCTATGCAAAACAGAACGAAACACTACCCAGTCCTGGGCCAGCCTCACAATTGTTGCCATACTTGAGCCCATTGATGCTGCCACTTGGCCAATACATCTCGTTGGGGGTCTTCTTCTTTTTCTCTGACCCTCTACCTTATCAAACATGATATCCTTCTCCAGCAACTGGTCCCTCCTGACAACATGTCCAAAGTATGAGAGACGAAGTTTAGCCATCCTGGCCTCCAAGGAGCTTTCTGGCTGTACTTCTTTCAACACAGATCTGTTGGTTCTTTTGGCAGTCCATGGCACTTTCAATATTCTCCTCCAACGCCATAACTCAAAAGCATCAATTCTTCTATGGTCTTCCTTATTCACTGTCCAGCTTTTGCATGCATATGAGGTTATTGAAAATAACATGGCTTGGGCTAGGCACATTAATCCTCAAGCTGACATCTTTGCTCTTCAATGCTTTAAAAAGGTCTTGTGAAGCAAATTTGCCTAATGCAATACGTCATTTTATTTCTTGACTGCTGCTTCTGTGAGTGTTGATAGTTCATCCAAGAAGAATAAAGTCCTTGACAACTTCAGTCTTTTCTCTAGTTGATAAGAATGTTATTTATTGGTCCAATGGTGAGGATTTTTGTTTTTTTTATGTTGAGATGCAATCCATCTTCATCAGTAAATATTCTAAGTCCTCTTCACTTTCAGCAAGCAAGGTTGTATCATCTGCATATCGCAGGTTGTTAATGAGTCTTTCTCCAATCCTAATGCCACGTTTTTCTTTATATAACCCAGCTTCTCGGATTATTTGTTCAGCATACAGATTGAATAAGTATGGTGAAAGAATACAACTCTCTTGCACACCTTTTTTAATTTTAAACCATTCAGTGTTCCCATGTTATGTTCAAACAACTGCCTCTTACTCTATGTACAGATTCCTCATGAGCACAATTAAGTGTTTAGGAATATTCGTACTTTGCCATGTTGTCCATAGGTTGTCATGATCCACACAGTTGAAAGCCTTTGCATAGTCAATAAAACACAGGTAAACATCTTTCTGATATTCTCTCCTTTCAGCCAAGATCCATCGGACATCAGCAATGATATCCCCCATTCCACGGTCACTTCTGAATCCGGCTTGAACCTCTGGAAGTTCTCTGTCAATATATGCTTGCAACTGTTTCTATATTACCTTTAGTAAAACTTTACACTCATGAGATATCAAAGATATTGTCTGATGATTTCTGCATTCCGTTGGGTCACCTCTCTTTGGATTCGAACAAATACGGATCTCTTCCAATCAATCAGCCAGATAGTTGTCTTCCATATTTCTTGGCAGAGATGAGTGAGTGCCTCCTAAGCCGCCTCCCTTTCTTGAAAGATTTCAATTTTTATTCCATCAATTCCTGGTGCCTTGTTCTTTGCCAATTCCTTCAATGCATCTTGGACTTCTTCCTTCAGTATCATTGGCTCTTGATCATATGCTACCTTTTGAAATGGTTGAACATCAAACATTTCCTTTTGGTAAAGTGATCTGTTTATTCCTTCCATCTTCTTTTGATGCTTTCTGCATCATTCAATAATTTTCCCAGAGAATCCTTCAATAACGAAAGTTGAGACTTGAATTTTTTCTTCAGTTCCCCCAGCTTGAGAAATGCTGAGCATGTTCTTCCTTTTGGTTTTCTGACTCCAGGTCTTTGCACATTTTGTTGTAATATTTGACTTTGTCTTCCCATTTCCTTCTTGCCTGCATGGTTTCTGTTGAGAGACCCGAGCTTAATCTGATTTGCTTGCTTTTGTATGTTACACTTCTCTTTTCCCTAGCTGCTTTCAGGATTCTGTCCTTATCTTTGATTTTGGAGAGATTGATTATTATATGTCTTGGTGGTTTTCTTTTAGGGTCTATCCTTCTTGGGGTTCATTGAGCTTCTTGAATGCTTATCTTTTCTTGTTTCAGGATGTTAGGGAAGTTTCTTCCAGAAACTTTTCAACTATCTCCCCTGTGGACTTGTGTGATTCTTCCTGTTCCAGAATGCCAATAATTCTTAAGTTATTCCTCTTCATGTTGACCAACATGAATCTTAGGCCTTTTTCAGATTTTTTAAATCCTTTTTTGTACTTGCTCTTCTATCTTATTAGTGTTGAGAAATTTATCTTCTAGCTCACTAGTTCTGCCTTCTATCTCTACAGTTCTATTCCTTTGCCCTTTCAGTGTATTGTCCATTTCTGATATTCTATTATTAATTGTTTGGACCTCTCTCTGTAGGTTTTGAATTGTTTCCAGTGCTGTATCTGTCTTATTTGATTGTTCCTGTAGTGCTTTCCTGACTTGTACCTTATTTTTCTCAACCTTATTGTATACTGTTTTGATACATTTTATTATCACTTTTCTGAATTCCTTCTCTGGCATTTCCAAAGCCTGCACATCTTCCAGTATGGCGTGTAGGTCTACTTCCTCTTCATTTGCCTCAGTCATTTTATCTAATATCTGGACATGTCCTGATATGGTCATCTTTGTATTCTTTTGGGGGGAGGGCATATTCGGGAGTTATCTGTGGTCTTAATACTTGGGTGTATTTTGGTAATTTTTACACTTTCTGATTGCCTCCAGGTAGATGTGATCAAGAGATGGACTTCCCTTTTCACTCTTCTTCCTGAGAAATTTCAAGATACCATTGTTGGTCATTGTGATGTAACTCAGGATTTAATTTTTGGCTTAATTTCTTTTTGGTCTTTCTTTCCCCCTCCACAAACCCTGTTCAGGCCTTTTACCTAGTGATAAACAGTTCAGTGCTGGCTGTGGCTATTTTGCACTGCCGTTTAGTTTTAAGTGGAAACTGTCACTTTAAATTTCTTGGATATCTGTGCACATACGTAGTAGAACCCTCTGGGGGTGTGGGTGGGATGTCCACTCACTCAGGCACCCCCTCTGATCACCAGAATGGAGGTGCACAGCCAGTGAGAGACCAAGAACAGATTAAAAAAAAAAAAAGAATGTCCACACCTTTACCTCCATGGTTCTGTCGTGTGTCTGTGGCTGCTCTGATCCTTCACCCACTTGGTCTCTCCAAAGATGGCATTTATGGGAGCAGCTGAGTGCCTTGGATTAGAAAGCACTGGATTTCTTGCTTCTGCTACAAATTCCTCTAGTTGTAAGCCTTCCGCTCTTCTAAATATTCCTTTGTATGTGGTTCAGAGTTCTTGTACCATCCCCTGAGCCTGCTTGGTCTGGTATTCTGTGTTGTTGCTGATGGATCTCCTTACTGCACTGCTACCTGATCTGCCATCTTGTTTGTTCTCTGCATTATCTATCTTACTTGATTGTTCTTGTAGTACTTTCCTGACTTCTTCCATATTTTTCTCAAATCCTCTATGAAGCATTTAGATGCACTTCAATATAATTTGCCAGAATTCCTTCTCAGGCATTTCCAAAGCCTGCCCTCCTTCCATTGTGGTATATATGTCTATCTCCTGCTCATTTGTCCTTGTCACTCTGTCTTGTTTCTGGGCACGTGCCAATATGGTCAGCTGTTTCTTGGGCATCTTAAATAGTAGCTGTGACCTCAGTAATTAGATGAATGCATGTTGATGTTTTATTATGCTTTCTGATTGACTCCAGGTAGATGTGATCAGGAGATGGGCTTTCCTTTTCACTCTTCTTATTACTCAACTCAGAGTAACTGTAGCAGGT